CCCGCCCCCCCGCCTCACTTGCACGCAGGGCAGGTCCCAACACCCTACTCTCCTGGCCACAGTGGTCACAGGCCGATCTCCGGGCCCGTGCGATCCTCGGTGCCCGGGCGCCTGGCCGATTGCGCCAGCTCGGAACGCGATTGTTCAGCCGCCGGCCCAGCTCGCTGCCCGGTCTGGGCCGCCGTAACGCCCCCCTTCCTCCCCTCCCCTCCCCCCCCCCCTTCCCGCATTACCCCATCCCCCACCCCCTCTCCTCGCTTCCTCCTCCCTCCCACAGCCCGAAGCCTGCCGGAGTCGCCGCTGCCCTCGACCTCGCTCCCGGTGCGTAGGCCGGGCCCGGCCCGGCCCTGCCGCCGCCCGCACACCGCCGCCAACCCTCGGCCCAGCCCCGCCCGCGCCCCCTCGACTGACCTGCCCCCCGTTCGCACCCGTCAACCTGGCGCCTCGCCTCGCCTCCCCCCTGGGCCCCCCTTTTGCCGCGTCCCCAGCCCGCAGCCATGTCCAACGCCTCGACCTCGGTCGGCGCCCCTCCCAAGCCCACTGTGGACCTGAGTGCCACGGTGGCCGCGGCCCTGCCCGAGCTGGAGCAGCTGGCCAAGGTGCGCCCGCCCCGCTGCACGCATGCACATACACGCACACGCACACACGCGCACACGCACACACGCATGCCCTTGGCTTTTGTCGCCCGCATGCCGGCATGTCACTGACCCCCACACCCGATAGACCAACTTCCCTCTGGCCCTGGAGAAGATGCTCGAGCTGGAGAAGCAGACCCGCGCCGGGGAGGACATGAACTCCACCAGCCGCGTGTTGGTGGCCATCATCGACACATGCTTCCACGCCGGCGACTGGGTGTCCCTCAATGAGTACCTGGTCCTGCTGGCCAAGCGCCGCGGCCAGCTCAAGCATGTGCGTCGCTGCCCTTTCCGGACTCCCGACGCCTGGCCCCCGTTTGCCACACACACACACACATGCACACACATGCACACACAGACACACACAGACACATACATGGATACTCACCATCTGCCATCCATCTCCGTGTTCGTCCCCCCCCCCCCCCCGCTTCTCGCCGGCCACACCACAGTCCATTGTCAAGATGGTCCAGCACACCATCGCCCTGATCCCCCAGACCCCGGATCAGACCACCAAGCTGGCCCTGATCGACACCCTGATCGCCATCACCGACGGGCGCATCTACGTGGAGGTGGAGCGCGCACAGCTGGCCCGGCTGCTGGCGGCCATCCGCGAGGCCTCCGGCGACATCCCCGAGGCGGCGGACATCCTGCAGGCCCTGCAGGTGGAGACCTTCGGGTCGCTGTCGCGCACCGACAAGATCGACTTCATCCTGGAGCAGGTCCGCCTGCTGGCCGCCAAGGGGGACTACATCCGGGCCGGGCTGGCCATCCGCAAGATCAGCCCTCGGACCTTCGACCGCAAGGCCTCGGCCAAGCAGAAGAAGGATCGCCTGTCCTCGGAACAGGCTGCCGCCCGGGTGGAGGCCGCCATCATGACCGACCTGAAGCTGCGCTACCTGCAGCTGCAGATTGTCCTGGCCATGCATGACGAGAAGTTCCTCGATGTGTGCCGCTTCTTCCGGCAGATCTACGACACGGTGCAGCACCGGGCCGCCCAGCGGGCCCAGGGGCTCCTGCCGGCCGAGGCCATTTCCGGCGGCGATGTGGAGATGACCCCGGCCCCGGGCCCGGGTGGCGCCGGCGCCTCGGAGGAGGCGGCCCTTGCCGGCGGGGCGAAGGCCCTGGAGCCGTCGCTCGACCCGTCGCACGTGGCCGTCTCCCAGCTGAAGCCCACTCGCACCAGCGCCGAGGATGATGACCAGCAGTGGCGCCAGGCCCTGGCCAACATGGTGGTCTTCGCCACCCTGGCCCCCTTCGACCATGAGCAGAGCGACATGCTGCACCGGGTAGCGGCCGAGCGCCGGCTTTCCGAGCTCCCCCACTCGCCGGACATCATCCAGGCCTTCACCTCCTCGGAGTTGATTGTCTGGTCGCAATTCGCCTCCAAGTTCGGTGAGTACCTGTCCGACCAGCACCGCTTCGGCAAGGAGGCCAAGTTCAAGCTGGCCGATGTGTATTTCGGCCGCATCGTGGAGCATGTGCGTACCCTTGCATTGGGTGGGTCTCCTCGGGGCGGGCGGGGGGGGGGGGGGGGGGGGCCTTTTCCTTTCCCTTCCATGGTGGCTGGTCTGTCTCTCCGGCCTGCTCTAACCCGGGTCCGCCCGTGTCATGTGTGTGTGTGCGCAGAACATCCGCATTGTTTCTCGCTACTACCAGCGCATTACTCTTCCCCGCCTGTCGTCCATGCTCTTCCTGGATGAGAACGTGCGTCCCCGGGCTATGCGGATCTGCTTCTCCTTTTTTTTTTCTTTCACTTGGCACCCATGCGATAGGCCGGGGAGGGGGGGGGGGGGAGGGCAGCGATGCGAGGAGACCCCGTGCCTGTGTCCTTTTGTCCTGGCCTGATGTACACACACCCTCTTCCCTGGACGGACACACTAACTGACGGCA